GATAGATTATGAAGGATTTTTTTTAAGTGGTACATTTATTCAAGTGAAGATTAAGATAAAAATGAAAGACGATAATATGTGTCTTGTCAATTAGCACAAATAAAAAAAAACTCAACCAAAGGTTACACTACAGTATAGAACTTCGGGTACTGTGGAGGGAATTTATACTCAACCAATATAAAAATTGGGAGATGTGGTATGATTGCCAATGAGACAACTATCAACCATGAATGTAAGCAATCACGTTTGGCAGGAGGGTATTATTTTGTGTACGGAGACAATTTAAACCATTAAAATCCTACCAACATTGGGAAAAGTTTTGATGAATTACACCACTATCGTAAAAGTATGTGTTTGTCTATTTAAAGTATATTGGTTCATATTTAGTAACATCATTGTTTTCCAGAGAAAAAACTTTGTGTAGCAATTAGTTGCAGATAGCCTTGCAAATTGACTAGACCTTTTTAAAACAAGTACATGTATATACATGTATATCATGTATATTTCCTGTATTACAGCCACTGAAAACATGACATTCTTGGATCATTATCAATATAGTACAAAACTAATACTGTGTAATGCTCGTACACAACGTGAAATGCTCTATGCGTTAAAAAAAATCGTAAAAATTAAAAGAATGATGCAGTTTACACTCTATCTAAAGACAATGATACAGTTTTCACCACTTCTTATAGTTGGTTTTATTTTACTTATTTAAGTAAAGATTGGTATTTAAAAAACTTAGTGCTTTGTGATACTTCATTTAGAAAATAATTATATAAATGTCTCTAAATCGGTCAAAAATAAATGTAATGCATGACTGATATCACATAGACGTGATATGTGGTTTTACGGAGAATTGAACGATGTGGTACTCACACAAGGAAGATTGGTGATTTGAATTAAATAGTTTACATGTAATACAAACGAGGCGGAAGACCCCACCCTTCACCACGGACGGCCTATATTAAAGAACCTATTGTATTTATTTTTGATCATGTTTGCCATCGGACGTTAAGCAACCAACAATAAATCAATCAATATCAGTTCAAAGCAGTTCTATATAGATTTTGCTTTCTAAAATTCTGAGTTGAAAAGTACAAATGCACAAATACGTGAAATGAAATAATTTTATAACAATGCGTAGACTTGTCTGTAATTTTAAATGTAAAGTATACTATGTATATGAATTCAATTCAATGTACATGTTTCAACTAACTTAAAATGTGCACACATATATGACCCCAGTACTTTACTTATCTTTGACACAAATGATAAAAGTTCAGATATAATATTTTAGTAGATGCCTAAACTACAGAACATTAATGGTGAGCTAACACATTATTATATTATGATATATTAACATATTGTTACATATTGTTACAGCTCTGATGTTATTTTTATCATACATGTTTTACAAACAAAAATATTGTAGACTACGTTTTAACCCTGCTTCCAAATTTAAAACGTGTGCTGTCTTTTATATCAAATTTAGCAGTTATCCTTTTGGTAGTTCCACTGTACAGGTTTTTATTGTTTGACATTTACGACATTGCCTGTAGTTACATAAAAACAGGGGTGATGTGCGCATGTTAAACTGGTTAATATGTTCCTCATTGTACACCAGTCCAAAGTCGAGCTCTCTGAACAATGTGTTGTTCCTTATGTTCGCTGTGTTCTTCCTCTATTTTGTATACAGGTATTTTTGTAATGAATATCAAACATATGTAACAAAGATATTGAACTTCCACATACATGATTTTATTTGGGCTTAGGTAGCAATAAACAGTTAGGAGTTTGGTTTCGCATTTTGACCCCTGTGAACTTTTCAAATATGAAAGTTATTGAGCAATAAAAATTAATAGATGAAGAATGATATAGCCTTCAAAGTGGGTTTATATGAACATCAAGACGGTTTTATGCATGTTTTATAGGCAAGTTTCTGTTTGACAGCCCGTATTTTTCACATCCGTACCGCCCAGAGGTCCAGAAATTATTGTACTGCACAGTAGTGTTTTCCCACAAATATTTTACGCTCGAACTTTTTAATTTCAATTTTATGAAAACATGAGGTGAAATGCTTATGATTTTTATTTGACTTCTTGATAGATAAATGTCAATGGTTTCAGAAAGGTATCATTCAAATGGATTGAAATTCTACTTCGGACCATGTTTTGAATACTGTGTGACATTTTCACCCCCTTTTTGCAATATTTTGTATCAAATAAATTCAGATTGTTGCCATGTTTACACCAAAATGAGATCATATTTCACCATTTTAACTATTGGAAATCAAATCTAAGGAAGATGCTGTTTCCATACATCTGCATACAATGTATACATGACACAAACATTAAGCCTTATTTATTAGAAAGCAAAGGAAAGAGGGTGGTAAAATATTATGAGTGTCAATTTTAATTTTTTTCCTAACTGTGTATAGCTACCTCTTTTTAAAAATGTATGTACTGTATTACAAAATCGTGTGAGCTTCCGTAAATTATTGACGGATATTTTAAATTTAAATTGTAAGAAGTTTAAATCATAAGCATAAATCAATTACCAACTAATTCTTAAATTTCTTTCGAATCCTAGAATAAAAGACCCAAAAGGTTACAGAAATATGGCCATCTTCTCATATCCGGAGGTAAAACTAATTCTACGTATTTATATATTCACGAAGGATGTACGGATGCATTCCTAATCAGACACGTTCGTTCAGAATGCTTTACGTTAAAACATGCCGATGTAGCCGGAATGTAACCAGCTCTATGCATGTACAAGGGCAACAACTCTTTAAAGGGGTCTGCTGGTGACCTGTTGTAAAGGAAAATTCTTTCTCTCTCCACCATACCCGCTTTTCTAATGGCAGTTTAAAGTTCTTTATAAAATTATATATTCATGGTTGGTAACTTAATGGCTAGGAAATCACGTATGAATAGGATAATAATTAGGGCGGACTGTATATTATATACCAATGTAAATAAACAAATTAGCTAAACGCGAGTTAATGAAATAACATTCACAATAGAAAATATATTAAGCCTTGGAATAAATACCCCTTAACTGTAAAAATATAGGCGCATACAATCAAAGTACGGGGAACATTTTTAAGACCTCTACACAGCACGAGAGGCAAACTTTATCGATATAATGGAAACAAAATGATATGGTGTGTTAAAGGATATTATTAGTTACATAGTGTGTTAGTCACCTAATACGATATATACGGGGTCAGTAAATTCCATATGGGGTTCGAGCGACCTAATACGATATATACGGGGTCAGTAAATTCCATATGGGGTGTCACTAGCACACTATGTAACGAATTTATCTTACCGACTATCTTTATTTGTTGAACTTTTCTCATTTGCAATCGTACCACATCTTCTTATGTTTATATTAAAGTGTTCAAGTGTTCAATTTTAAGAACCTACTTCCTTTGGTCTGCACAAAAAAAAAATTAATGTCAACAATAACAATTTAATATCAACAACCTTGATATAACAATATTAAACATCACTTTCAATACATTCAAATAAGCAAATAGTGCCAAAGTCATAACTCCACTACTAACCTTGTATTGAAATAAGCCCCGCCTCCCTACTAACCCAATATGGAATATACACGGTCTCCACGCGGGCGCTTTAACCAATCATATTCCTAGAAATGTATGGGAGGTAAGATAAAATTTCATTCAGAAAATATTTTTCAACTCCAGAGTTTTGTGTTAAATATAGGCATATCTTCACGAAAAGGTTTTTTTTCTCTCCTGAGCAATCATGATATTGAAGGCAGTTAACCGAAAAGCATTTTAATTTTGTTGTGTATTGGTTATTCAGCGTTGCCTTATTGTTTTAATCAAATATCTATGGTGCTTTTGAAACTTTTTGAGTCAATACATATTAGCCAGTTTACATGACCATACCAGAATGTTCGACTCCACATTGGTTAGCATGTGCACTCAACCCATATCATATAAAAACGTATATACCGGAAAATGCTTTAAAAATCAGTTAAGAAAAAGCACAAACTAACTCTAAGAAAAGAAGTATTACAAAAAAGAACAAAATAGATAACAAATTATCCCGTATTAAAGAATGCTCGTTGTTATTGAAAGCAAGCTCAAAGTACTTAAACAACTGATATGAAATCAAACCGTCGGCTAACACTTAATATCGGTTGCTGTACTTCATATACGATTCCCCAAAACAACGTAACAAACAGTACAGAAAGACGTGATCTTCTATGATGCCGTAAATACACTTTACAGAATATCGGTTACTGTACTTCATATAAGATTCCCCAAAACAACGTAACACACAGTACAGGGAGACGTGATCGTCTGTAATGCTGTAAACACACTTTACAGAAAAACTGAAGAAAAAAAAACATTTTAATATTGATTCAGGCTTTGAAATAGAGAGTTGATATTTGTCCTAAAAATACGAAGCGGTGTGATAGAACATCAAATATATATTTATAAACTTCTAGTGATAATTCACACTGCATTTATTTTTTTCCATCTTTCTTTTTTTAAGCATAAAATCATAAAATCTTTCAAATTTTATTTTACTCTTTTAACTTCACAATCTGTAGTGAACATAGAAATATGCAACAAAATGTAAGCAAAAGAAGGATTAACATTGAGAATGGTCATGTACTATTGCGTATTTTTTCTTATTTTTCCAACAATCACGCGAACTTTAAGCATTTAACATATATAGCCAAATGTGAAGGTTTAAGCTGAATCCTTCATTTATTTTGAAATGCCTCAAACAATTTTTTAATTAAAAAAGTGTTTTTGAAGAGATTATTAATAACACATCTAATAGTTAATGAGTAATAGGAAGATATTTGTAAACACCTGTCTAATGTTGAAGACTTCGTCGATATTTTGTCCTTTGAATGTCTTTTGTTGATTTATTTTGTTGGCTTGCTGTCTCATTATTCATATCTGTTTAGGTTTGAATACAAATTGGACTAAATATTTACTTCACAAAATGGCAAATATCGATGCTGATGATACGAAGCCATACGTGTACGAAGAAAGATTTAATAACATTCTTTATAGTGGAGTTATCTCCCTTGGTATAGGACTTGGACATAGAGTCGGACTGTTTAAAGCTTTAACTGACTTTTCGGAACCAGAGACATCCCGATCGATAGCAGATCATGCAGGATTGAATGAAAGGTACGTCATATCTCCGAAAAAATCTGTGCAATACAGTCATACTGGAAGATGTTACATTGCATATGTTTATAATAAGCATGATAAGAGACGTCCGTTATCTAAATGTTTTCCATTAAACGTGCACAATTTGAAACGTGACGTCGAAGAGTTAAGATTGTCACAACCAGTTTTTCAGAAGAAACAGTACTGACTCCTAATATATATATATATATCCAACTCTACTTTACTTTATTACTACATTGTAGTTTGAGTAAATCTTTTATCACAACAAACTAAGCTGTGGGATACAACTCTAAAGGTAGCATAACTACACAAGATAAAATGTGTCTGCCGTGTACCGACCCTTGCATATACAATGTACTGTAGTATACCCATACTCATACACTCGTATGTTCACAAAATTATTTTAAATTCGTTGATGTTTTAAATTATTGTTTTTTATAAAATTGTACGCATGAATTGTGTAAAATTATATTAGAACCGAATCACAGAAAATTTTGCACATAGCTAGTCACACTTAAAGGATTGTGATTCCAAGACGATTAATTTGAATCAGAGGCTTCGTATTAAAATGAGGAGATGTTGTATGACTGCCAATGACACAAATACCAACACCAACAAAAGACCAAATAACAATGATGTAAACTTCAGGTCGTCCCAATCCAATCTTCAACCACTTAGTATGTGACAAAAGAATCTGTTAAAAGATGAATTATGTGCCTAAAGTTTGTGTGTTACAATTTAAGACCTCATTTCAAGAGCGTTCCGTTTAAGAACCTTATATTTGGTATGTGACAAAAGTTTCGTTTGAGGAGCCTTCTGTTTGATATGTTACATTAAATCAGTTGAAAGATCAATTTTGTGAATGTGAAAAAGGTTTCGTTTTCCAAGCGTTCCGTTCTGGTATGTGACAAAGGTTTCTTTTTCAAATCTCAAAGCGTTTCGTGTTGGTATGTGACAGAGATTCTGTTTTAGAGGTTGACAAAGGTGCTGTTTTAGAGGTTGACAAAGGTGCTGTTTTAGAGGTTGACAAAGGTGCTGTTCTCAGATCCTTCTGTTTTGTATGTGACAAGGGTCTCGCCTTATTTGTTTTAATTTTTTTTATTTTTACATTCTTATTTTGTAGATATGTAAGGGAGTGGTTGTTTTCCATGGCTGCAGCTAAGGTAGTCTTTATAACAGACGACAACAAATACTACATACCGTCTGACTGCAAGACAAAAACTTCGAAAAGCTTACTTGCGACAATGATTCTCGCCACTGCTCCACTAACAAAGGATGTAGAAAAATGTTTTAGGTCAAAAGATCAGTCATCTGCTGGTGAGATCTTACTGTAACTATTATTTTAGGTCAATATAAAAAAGAAGATGTGGTATGATTGCCAATGAGACAACTCTCCACAAGAGACCAAATGACACAGAAATTAACAACTTTAGGTCACCGTACGGCATTCAACAATGAGCAAAGCCCTTACCGCACAGTCAGCTATAAAAGGCCCAGTACAGTAAATGGGTCAAGTACAGTAAATGGGTCAAGTACAGTAAATGGGCTATGACACAGATTTTGGTAAAATCTTGCATACTTTGGATCGTTGAACTAAAACTGAAGAAAAAAAAAACAATAATGCATTTATCTGTTTTATTTTCTGAAGTATTGTCAATGTTGGGTAAACATTTTCTCGTAAGATGTTTAAATGATTAATAAAGTCGTCAAGACGTTAATACATACGCAATATAGAGTGGTACGTTGGCAACCTTAATTAACCGCGCAAAAGTCGTCTATATTTTTCAGCTGTAATTTTAATAATCAGACTTGAATTCGATTCAAAATTAAATGATTTTTTTTTATGGTTAAACTTGCCAAATGTCTTATTACATTTGATATGATTAGAAATATATAAAATTTGATGTTTAAAGGATATGACTTTTCGAAGCTTGAAGAAGTATTCCATTATATGAATCAAGACGGGACAAATTGTGATGGAACATGGATAGAAGAGAATATTCTTCCTTCTAAATATAAAAGCAAAGGTAAGTTTTTTTTTAGTGTCTCAGTCTTTATCTTACTTCCTATTCACTTCTAGGAATATCATAGATTAAACGCGAACAGTTAGGAACCGTGCATATTTAATATTAGATCTGTATGTGCCTGTCCAATACCAGAAGCCTGTACTTCTGTCTGCCATGTTTTCCGGTTATTGTTTTAATATAAACCGGGCCGATTAGTTCTCTTTTGAATTGTTTTTCCGATGTATTGTATATCTTACTTTACGAAACTAGCTAGCCACATTGTTTGTGTGTTTCCCTGATTTAAAGTACATGTATAACAATCCGTAAAAACGGATCAAGTTATAATGTCTTGACTTTACGGTAAAATGTTGTGGTTTTTTCGCGGCGTTCAAATTTTGCATATACAATGATCAAAATGTAGGTGGGTTCCTGGTCAAGTGGTTAAGACCGATTGCTACAGTGCTGAAGGTCCCAGGTTCGATTCAGACTCGGATGCTGGAAATTTCAGTACATCAGAAGGGTGATTTTTACCCTCCAACACAATTTTCTGGTAACCAGACCGGACTTTAAATTAGAATGGTTATTTTTGGGGCCTCGGTTGGTCAAAGTTGCCCTCGACTTTGACTTGGAGATCCATCTGATGATATGATATCTCTTCGGTATTTCTGTTCCCACCGAGCAACCTGGTGGTTCGTTTCAAGTACTTCGGCTTCCTTCATTATAATTTCAAACAAACATGTTTGCGAGCTTTTATTTTTGCGTCCTTTATGTCCCTTATTCTGTTTTAAGATGAAATTTTCTTGAAAAGATAGAAACTGCAATAAATTTTTTCGATTTTATTTTATTGGTAAAATTATCGAAAATAAGCTCCTTGCAAACGTGTGGTGTTTGCTTAATGTCCGGTGGCAAATATTTCTTGCATATTTAGGGCAATGTTTCAGTCTAAACATTTTACGACCTCATAGGTTTTTCTAATAATCGAATAAACTATAAATTTCTCGTTTTTCAGATAAAATTATGACAATATTGGACATTGGATGTGGAACTGGCAGGATTACTGCAAACATAGCTCATTATTTCCCGGGTGCCAAAGTTGTCGGAATAGATGTAGATCAGTTTGCGATAGATACTGCACTAAAACTAAAGGAAGATGAAAATTTGACCAACGTCGAGTTCTGTCTTCTTGGTGGAGAAAGTTTAAAAGATGAATGGACAGAAAGATTCGATTGGATAACAATGCTTAAAGTTTTCCACGATCTACCCAATCCAGGTTCTTGTCTGAAAGGAGCTATGAGAGCATTAAAAGACGACGGCGTGTTGACCTTTCATGATCCTCTGTGTCATTCGGATCCCAAGCTAAATGTCGGAAGTAATGTACATGCGTCAACACTTACACTAAGCTGTTACGTTTGCCTCCCGTGTAGTTTGTCGGCACCGCCAGCAGTAGGTAATGGGATCGGATGGGGGCTGGAAAACAGGGCAAAATACCTCAGAGATAATGGCTTAACAGTACATGGTAATGAGTCTGTCGAAGTAATCCACTGTTCCAAGACATTGAAATGACTGTTTAAATAGCTTCACCATAGGCATGTGTAGCCAGATAGCATCAAATATGATTATTGCTTAATTGTTTGGTCGTAATAATTCGCCGTTTCAGATTCATTTACATCCTGTGTCATATTTTCAAATATAGCCTTCCAATAAATATCGTTTCGATTCCTAACATCACTGAAGAGACATTAATTGTCGAAATCCGGATATGGTGTACACAATTTTGCACCTCATCTTTGCGGTATACCATCTTTTCCGCAAGTTTATTGTTTTCTGTTTGGTAATAAATTATTATAGGATCCATTTTGTTACATCTGGTGATCCGTTTTTATGTGGCAATCGTCAATGGCAGTCAGCAGGGTTTAAGAACATCAGTTGTTCGATCTGCTAGTCAAATGCGTTTAGTCAAAATATACTTTTTCACTTTTTTTGTCTTTTGGAAAATGTTGTTTGTGCTGTATTTAGACCCCTCAACCAAGAAATTTGTTTTGCATGCACACGTATAAAATTGCGGTTTTTATCCAACGCAATCATAGGTTTGAACGTTGTTTTCAATTTAGACTTGTTTATATTTTTTCGTTTGGGCTTGTATTATATTTGCCTTCGGGTTTATATGATCCGTTCATCCTATTTCGACTCTTTCAAAATTCAAGAGTCTATCCTAAAATGAGGTAAATTATATGGCCTTCCAAATACCGTTTCGATTCCTAACATCACTGAAGAGACATTAATTGTCGAAATCCGGACATAGTGTACAAAATTTTGCACCTCATCATTGCGGTATACCATCTTTTCCGCAAGTTTATTGTTTTCTGTTTGGTAATAAATTATTATAGGATCCATTTTGTTACATCTGGTGATCCGTTTATTTGGCAATCGCCAATGGCAGTCAGCAGGGTTTAAGAACATCAGTTGTTCGGCCTGCTAGTCAAATGCGTTTTGTTAAAATATACTTTTTCACTTTTTTTGTCTTTTGGAAAATGTTGTTTGTGCTGTATTTAGACCCCTCTACCAAGAAATTTGTTTTGCATGCACACGTGTAAAAATTGCGGTTTTTATCCAACGCAATCATAGGTTTGAACGTTGTTTTCAATTTAGACTTGTTTATATTTTCAAATCGTATATACTGAAACATTGTGATTGGTTAATAAGGTCCACAACAATGGAAATTCAACAATGACGTATCATTATTTTTATATTGGTGTACGAACGATGAAATTTCTTATACTATATTTTAGATTCTGAATGGGCTGATTAAAGGAAAATTACTGTTACGACTTTTTATTTTTTTCTGACTGGTTACGTCTTGACAAACGTATTTTTTCTAAAGAAACAGTGACTTGGACGGAGAGTTGTCTCATTGGCACTCATTACCACATCTTCTTATACATGTATCTATTATAATAGAGAACATCACAAGATATATCAGGCGACGCCGTCAAACGTCTAATCTGGAACATCGTTTTGACTATGAAATTTTTCCAAACGTATTGCATTTTATTGGTTAATATTTTTTGGACTCAAAAGTCCTCTTCCGTGTCATGTTTATGAATAGGGTATTTTACAATTCACTATGTTTTTATACAATTAATAATTATACGATTTATAATAGTTTAATGTAGCAGGACTTGTTCCGTATTTTACACCTGCCAGGCATCTGTCTCTGAAAAAATATCTTATAGTTTAACCTTAATATAACACTTTTCAAAGACGAGCGCCGGTGGTATTTTACCCTTATTTAATATTAACTTCCGATGAAATTTTCAAAAACGTAACAGAAACATGTGGCAGGTTTGTGACCGTACATCAAACATGTCAAATATGTGTTTAAGTTAGTAGGAAGTTTCTTTGTTATTTTACTTGATTGTGATACTTGGATAATATAAGGACAACAAGCAATTTTGCCAAGATTCACTACCAATATTTTCAATTTATATAAGAGTAGTTATGTTGAGACTAAAAATATAGGACATGTATGGAAACTGTAAACTAACTTGTATCTTTTATATTTTGGACTGATGATTTACGTGTAAATCGACTGCGTATATCTAAAATTGGAAACTTTGTATCATTGATATGTCGTTCTGATGAGCGGCACGTATAATCCTCAAATCTGTTGTTTTCATGCAGACCTATAACACTGTGCGGGACAAATTTGCCGTTCCAGAATTGGCAAATCTGGCTTTGTTGTTTTACAAGTTAACAGAAATATGTTTTGTCCAAGTGATAGATAATTAAAAAAATTATATTTTCCAATATGTCCCAACATGTCACTGCTGTTACTGTTGTCACTAAAGCTGATCAAAAGTACATTTCCCATGGGAAATTTAAGAATTCCCATGGGAATGTTAGAAGTTACCATTGAAAAAGTACTTTTCCCATGGAAAACCAAGAATACAACAAGTTTCCATGATAATTTAACTTTTCCTATGGGAACAATTTTTCTTCCCATGGTCACATTTATTCATCCGATGGGAACAATTTTTCTTCTCATGGGAACATATAACTTACAATGGGAACATTTTTTCCATTTGTATGGTTTTCTCCTAGAAAAATTGAAAATGTTAAATTATTGCTGTAAGCAGGTTTTCAACAATATCAATATGGTTTCGTATAGAAAATTGCACTCAACATGCAACTTCCATGAATATCTGATTGTCCAGTAAAATATGAAATAAGTTGTGTGTGTTGTGATTAACAAAATGTGCTTACACAATATTTATGTACACTTTGATTCTTTCGTTTAAAGGTTATTCAATTATTCAATAAAAATAGATATCCTTTTAAATGCTGACTGCAAGAGTAGAACAATATATATTAAAGGCATTATCGTGTCATGGAAGGTTTTAAAATACATGGTTTGCCTCGACCATTATAAAATACCTATTAGAAATACTGACAAAATCTATGTCACCAACGATATTTGAAAATAAATATGAATAAGAGGAGATTTATGTATAAATCAACGAGACCACAATCCAACAAAAATCACCAATAGTTTAAATAGAGACTATGAAAACATTACTATCAACTCTAAATTCACGAAATAAGAATAAACACATTACTGCACAATATGGCAAATGATAACCCTGATTACCACTGGCAAAGTTCAAGGTTGGAGACATGACCATAAAGATAGGTTGAGGTTCAACTTGATTCTTATAGGGAAACAATTTATCGATAGCAGAGAATGTAGAAGGTTTGATAATTATATAAAGAAAACTGTTCAAACAAGAACAATTTTATCTTATCTCACAATATATGAGAAACAGCAGTGACTGTATTTTTCTCCTTTTTCAACTGTCTGGTGATATACAATGAAACTTCTTCTATCATTGTCTATTAGTATACAATCATGTAATTACAACACATTGTAAATTCTAAAATAAACCAAATACTTCCACATAGCAGAATTTATTACACAAAATGTAATTCATACATTACAGCTATTTTGCACATTAGATTCAAAATTATATATTGTCCTAATCTTTAACGGTCTTCAACTTAGAGACTTAAAGTTTGGAGTGTTCTTTTCTCGTCAACACGAAATGTCAAATTCCGCCCGTACAAAACAGTGCATGTATTCTCATTTATACTGCTTTACAGTCTTATACTTGTTTAATACAGCGCATATTATAGTTTAGAATTTGAAAGCAATATAATTGTCAGGATAGAAATTCATTTGTTTGGTTGTCGTTGGTTCGTGTCTGTCATATTTGTTTTTCGTAAATTTTATTTTATAAATTAGGCCTTTAGTTTTCTAATTTGAATAGTTTCACATTTTTCATGTCGGGGACTTTTATTATAGCTGTACGTGACCTATGATTAATTATGTCACCCGATCGACAATGTCGGGTGACATATTGCTATTCCTCCGTCTCTTTGTTATGTCACCTGATCAACAATGTCGGGTGACATATTGCTTTTCTTCTGTTTCTTTTTCCCTATTATTATTATTATTTTTCTTCCACCTAATTTTGTCCAGCAGTTTTCTCAGAGGCAATGGAACCAATCTTCATGATTGTTGAGCATAATGAGGACCACCATCAGTGGAGATGCAGTGAAACTTTGGAACTTTTAAATGGCCGCCGTTTTCATGGAAACAGTAAAAATGTGAAAAATATTTTTTTGTTTTTGATGACTAATTTGAGAATGCCTGAACTAAAAATCATCAAATAAAAAATTAAAATAAATAGGTATCCACTATATACAGGTTTTGGATGATTTTGAGAATCATCGGAACTACTGTATTAGCATGGAAACTGGGGAAAGGTTTCCCATTATAAGCCTATGGGAAAAACTTTACAGTAGCATTTTCTCTCTTAACATGGTAGGTCAAATCCATTGAAACTTTGATGGTATGATCCCTCCCATGTACATTTGTACCAATGTGGCATCTGTCATTACAATTTTGGGAATGGTCTCTGTTACCATGGAAACCAGCAAAAATGTCAAAAATTTTAAAATGCACGAAACTTAATATAACTTTATATTAATGCTAACTGGCATGTATAGATAAGACTTTTGACTTTGGAATTTCCAAAATGGTCGCCGTTGCCATGGAAACAGCAAAAATGTGAAATATCAAAATGCTCCAAATGTTCTGAAAATTTACAGAAAGATGTATTGCCATGCATATATGTGCATTCACTGTTTAATTTTTTTAAAATGGCTGCCACTTAGTGGCAATGGGTGGAAGGGAGACATCCGCTATTGCTTGCAATGGCAAATCTAGTTATGTCACCCTGACGGAGGTTGGGTGACATATTGTTATTGTTCCATTCTTTTTTTTATTTATAATCTTTATTATTATTCCACACTTTTTTGTCCAAACTATTGCTCGGAATAGTATGGACCAATGATAATGGAACTTTACCATAGTGTCAACCCCCATGTGTAGATGTGCAATCGGAAAGTCTTCCAAATTGAATGAAACTTTGTGGAAATATTACTTGGCACGTGAAGACATGCCATCAATCTTTGGAATTTTCAAAAGGCCGCCGTTGCCATAGAAACAGTTCAAATGAGAAAATTTTCAAACTGCTTTAAACTTTCTGAAACTTCACAGAATGGTGTGTTGTGATGCATATAATATTATCTGCATTCAATGTTTAAAGATTTTAAAATGGTCGCCGTTTAGTGGC